GTCTGTCTGAAAGCTGTTGGATTGCTGTGTGGTGCACAGAAGGGCCTTTTGTTCTCTTGTTTGACTTTTTGTCAGGGCTGTTTACTCAGTGAGGGCACTATTGAAGTCCCCTGGCTCCTGGTGCCTGCATGGTTGGCCTGTGCTCTCCGGTCTAAGTCTAAGGCGCACACTCTACGAGTGCCTGCCCGCAGGAAATGCCTCGCTGGTTCGACAGTCACTACTGGCAAGAGGTCCGTTCCCGCTCCATTCGTAACCCCCAAATGGTCGATGGGCTTTGATGGCTCTGACTAAGAGCTCTGGCTTTAGTCACGGCTAAGGAACGCGGTGAAGCCGGCCACCTCGTCTCCGCCAAGAACCACACCATTCCACCGTGGCCCCCACTTGTGGGGTCAGCCCCCTGGCGCCCCAACCCTGACCTCCCAGTTAGTCTTTGCTGCGTTGGTGCTGCTTCATTTAGAGCCATAAGCGACCCCAAAGCCAAATGTAACTTTTGGGTTCCAGCTTCTAAGTTCTACCCAAAGTTCACCCATGCCTCCTATTCTTTCTGGCACCTTCCTCAGTCTGTTTTCATTCTTATCCTCTGATCTCTTGCAACTCATAAGGCTGCCCTTCTCTCCCTGCTGCCTCGATGTCCTGCTACAGATCTGACTGTCGGGGGGGTTTTTGGGTCTTAGTAGCAGATTACTGTGAGCGGGGGGGGGGGGTGACAAAGGAGGGCTGCAATCAGTGAAATGAAATTCAGTAGCTATGACTAAAGATAAAGACCTTGATGTGTCTTGATAGGGTGACTTTAAGGGCCTTTTAAGGGAGTTACCACCTGGTTCTGAGTGATGGGAAAATGCAGTCGAGGTCATTTTTGCTATAGTCAGTGTCTTTGCCATCGTGCTGCACTAATCAGATGAGTCTGTTTTTATATGTCGCCTCTTTGTGTCCTCAGAACCGATGCCCGGCTATTTTTCCACTCGGGTAATGCGCGCAGAGGGTCCAATCCGGCGCAAACCAGTTCTGCCCGGCTTTGATCGGTTGTCGGCTGATTTTGTTTGCCCCCCCCCCCCTAATAAAATAGGCAGGTGAGCAGACAACAAGGGACTATCACAAACCAGAGATGCCGGTACGACCTGCCCTGCTAGGTGTTATTCAGTTACAGGCTCACACATTAACGTTGTTAATTGGGTCAGGACACAGTTTGTGGGTCAGATCACGGTGGAATGAGAGAATGGATCATGATTCTCTCACACTCTGATTCTTGTCCTTTTCCAAAGCCGGCTCTTCTCTACCATCGTTTTTGGGGTCCGTGGGGCCTTTGCGGGGGGAGCGGGCTAGGCGGCCGCTGGGCAGGGGCTCACCGGCATCTGAATCCATGCCCGCCGGATCCCTTTGTCTGCTTCCAGCACCAAATTGCTGCAGTTCCCATTCAGCAATCATGATCCAAACCGCAACTGCGTTTTGGCGCCTGACCAGAGTACCAGATCCAGAGGCGAGAATGCGGACCCAGGGCTGGGGAGCGTGGCAGCAGCCTTGTACATAAATACGCCTCGAGGTGTCCTGGGAAAAGTCAGCGCTGGAGGCGCAGCAGTACGAAAGGCCTCATTTCCTTCCAAGTGGGTCTGCGTGACCCTGGCATCCCCGACGCATGCCAGTAGGAGGCAGTCATGATACACTGCATGATTCTTATATCTGCTTCTCTGCGTATGAAAGCGCTGCCCCAGTGTCTCTGGGGGAAGGGGGGCAAACATGGTCACGGATGGTTATACCTGTAAGGGAGCATCTTATTTTCATGTTTTATGCAGCTTTAAATGATTTTTTGGACGAATTACCGCAAGTCTGATTTGTGACTGACGCCACCGGCTGTTCTGGGTTTGGGGCGCTGTGCCGGGCCCCCCCATGTGACCCCCTCTCCGTCTGCATGTGCCCGCAGATGACAGCGTGTCGGCGGCCAGCGCGTCGGACGTGCAGGACCGGCTGTCGTCGCTGGAGCTGCGCGTGCAGCAGCAGGAGGACGAGATCACGGTGATGAAGGCGGCGCTGGCCGACGTGCTGAGGCGCCTGGCGCAGTCCGAGGACCCCGCACCTGCCACCAAGAAGCAAACCGCCGCCAAAGGTACGGCGGGGGGGGAGCGGATCGGGGGGCTCTGCCCACCTCACTTGGTTTCCCCCGGCAACATGCAGGAAGTGGGGGGTTGTTTACAGCTTCATTTCAGACTCGAGGGGTGTTGAGTATGTGGGGGGGGGGTGTCTAATGGGGCAGCATTCCCCCCAGGCCTGGCTGTTTTCTGTAGTCCCCCAGCTGGGGCATCTAGCATTACTGTTAAGCACATGGCTGCCCGCCGGGACCGGGACCGGGAGCCGTGTTCCTCCCTGAGAAGCCATTCCTCCCCCACCATAACCCTGATGTTCATCTGAGTCTCCCTGGCCTGCAAAGTTAGAGAAGCGTAACTTTCCTTTTCAGTTATTAATTCTATAACCGCCCCCTCGGCTGAACTGGCTGCTTCTTGCGGCTGCCGATTGGGAAGCATGCAGCCATCATTGCGGAGGCCTTTGGGGCTGATAAAGGGTTGCACAGCTCTCCGGGAAATGCGACGGCATCTGGCCCTCTTGGTAAAATTAGCGTAATCACTCAAGCGACTCGGGGTCATGCTTTCGTTGACGGTGTGACACCGCCCTCGGGGACACGTGGACCTCTTAGCCGCACACCCTCCCATGCCAGCCACACGCCCCAGTGCAGTTTTGGCGGCAAGACGCTGCTGTGGGCTGCAGCTGCCACATAAGGTCGCGTGTCGCGGTGCAGCCGGCAGCCGCCCTGGATGAGGAGCGCGTTTCGCTGGAAGGGCTCCGGAAGTCACAACTGCGGTGCAGCTCACTCCAGCGCACTCTGCAAGAGGCAGCAGGCCACTTCCTGTTCCCGAGGCCGAGATTTCGGCCCCCACCCCCTCATGTCGCGCTCTCTGTCTTTCTGTATTACACTATACCCCGCTCTCTCACCATGAGGTGGAATCTCCCTTTTTTTCCTGCTGGTCACATGAACAGGAAGTCCCTACTGTGTATCACAGCTGTGGATCATGCCCTCTGCTGGCCAGGAGGTTTTTTGGCACTTGAATGTAAGCCGATGGTGGCCAGAGGATGAGATGATTTCAAGTGTGCTAGACCTTCCCTGAAGTCCACCCAGTGAATCGGTCCTTACAGTCGTGTTAAAGCTGAATCATCAGACGATTGCGGCTTAAACATGCGACATCTGCCGCCCGCCCGTCTGTTTGGTTGCTGCCGCAGAGAGCGTGCCAGCGGCAAAACGGCAGTTGCTGAGGGCACAGGGACTAGCAAGCGCTGCTCCACAGCGGAAGCTGTGGCTTGCCGTTTGTCATTTTTGCGATTAATTGCCTCCCCAAGCAGGACAGAACCCCCTGCGTGAGGCCTACTCCATGTCCTGCATCACCAATGGCAGCTCCAGCAGCCGCAAGCCCAGCCACCGGGACGGGTCCTCAGTGTCTGTAGCCAGGAAGGAGACCGTGTCTTCTGCAGCCAAGAGGTAATGGTGGGAAGAATGGGGACACGCACACACACACGCTCACACACACAAAAGTTACAGTTTAAAAAGTCACAGGTCTTTATCACAGTGTGGTAAATCTGGTCCCCACAATGTAATAATTACAAAAACCTTTGCACACAGCACATATACCCCCCCACATGCACATGCACTCTCACAGACCCACCTGGAAGCCACATGTACAGACCCTAAGGGCCCAGAGGCAGCCTTGCAGATGTACCCAGATGTAGATCTGAGCCGACTGACGCACAGAAAGGGCCAGGCTGCTGCCAGGGGGCCGGGATGATAATGAGAGGCCCTGAGATGCTGCGCTGGCCATGCCTGCGATTCGCGGGTCTAATCGGGGTTCATCCAATGGATCGGCTTGGCACCGAAACCCACATTTAGAGAAGCGTTAAGTGGCTCTCTGCTGCGCTGGGGAATCATGGGAAGGTTTTGGGCAGGCCTTGCCACGTGGACCGGCCCCCGCCGGATGCTGCTGATTCCTCATCACCGTGGGGGTCGGACCAGCACATCTTCGGACAGCAGAACGTTCCAGAATGGGCGGCCCGGTCCCTCCCCTTTATTTGTTTCCTTCTACCTCATCAGCATCCTTTCTTTTTTCACACAGACCCTATGTTTCCTGTTTGTTTGTTTGCCCCCCCCCCCCATTGTCTTACAGTGGTCCAGAGAATAAGCAGCATATGGAGGAGATCAAGGAGAAAGCGGAGCCACGGGCTAACGATAAAGCCCCCTCCCCCCACCCCCCTCAGTCACAAAGGCCCCCCCAGGAACACAAGAGCTCCACTCCTCTGAAAAGGTCCCTGTGACACCCTCCCATGCTCTGCTGAGGTTGAAATGCTTCTGGGGAATCATAAGGCCACCTCCTCCTGCTTTATATTTATTCCCAACCCCCCATGCCCTAACTCTCCCCCCCCTGTCGCATTCTCTCCTCCACCTGTTCTCCTGCTGCTGAGATGAATCGAGACCCACTAATGTACTGTGGTATCCCTTTCCTGCTTCACCCTGGGTGGTCGCGGTGGGGGGTCACTCGTAATGCCCCCGCCCGCACCCATAAACAAACCCAGAGCGGATCTTTCGCACAGCGCCACATTAAAGACTTCTTAAACTTGATGGGGGGAATGTGAGTGTACTTGCCTGCTCTGAGGCATCATGGGAGATTAGGATGGAGGGCTGAGGGTGACCCAGCCTGGGAGCGTGGCTGGGCCTGCTTGCCCCTCGCGAGATGCTGAAAGCCGTTTGCGAGCTACGCCTCTCCTCTGAACTAAAGACCTGGTGCGGCCGCTGGCGGGGGTGGTGTGGGTGGAGATGTCTCACAGGGTAATAAACCTCTCGCTTTGTGCCCCGCGGACATGAAGTAGATGGTACAAAGAAGCCACAATGGGCAGCATCCAAAGCTGCATCGCGCCGCCAGATCTCTCAGCGGCTGCTGTGAGCCCGTGTGCTTCCTGGAAGCCATACCCTGTACCTACCTGCATACGCCGGTCACCTGACACAGAGTGGGGGGGATTGCATGCAGCTTCAGGTTTCTGAGAAGATGTTCACAGCCAAACGGGTTACGCACCACCCCCCGGCAAAGGAGAGGGTCGGGGGGGTGTGCGGGGACCACCATCTTCAGGATGGCCCCTGCCGACTCAGCTCCACTCCTCCCATTTCC